GAGCATTAATTTCTCTGCACCTTACTAACATAGAGTATTAAAACTACTCTCCCCCCAACTTTAATTTGGAAAAAATTCAGGAAGATTGAAAATATAGCACAATAAACACCAATATACTCTTCATCTAGATTTACCAAATGTTAAGTTTTTGAAACATTTCTTTTCTCTCCCCCGCCCCCCCGAGTTTTTAAAAAGTGAAGTAATTTATTCTTTTTTTTTTTTAAATATATTTTATTGATTTTTTACAGAGAGGAAGAGAGAGAGACAGAGTTAGAAACATCGATGAGAGAGAGTCACCGATCAGCTGCCTCCTGCACACCACCTACTGGGGATGTGCCCACAACCAAGGCACATGCCCCTGATCGGAATCGAACCTGGGATCTTTCAGTTCGCAGACTGACGCTCTATCCATTGAGCCAAACCAGTTCGGCAGTAATTTATTCTTAATATGATGTATTCTGTGGACTTCAACCCTGATTCCAGTTATCTATTGAATAGATAGAATTTCTTGTTCATGTACCACAGCTTACAGTTTCACTTTAGTCAGTGACCAAGCTTTGGACAAAGGAGAAATTCTGTTTTCAATGGCATCATAGAAGTATTATGTTTTGTGTTTAAGCTTTAGTATATTCCTTTGATAAGTAGTAAAAAAAAAAAGTATAAACTTTAATATGTATGAGGAAAACATCAATAACATAGCTTATTCTTGAATATAACAGAAATTCAAATATTTCATTCAGATTTACCTATGCCTAATGGGAAGAATGATGTGGAACTTGATTCTCCACCTGCAAAGAAAAAAAAAATAGATATTTTTCAGACTTACGATGTAGAATATTTAAAAATTGGTTTTATTATCTATCCTGGATCAAAAGAAAGTTCACCACGGCCTCAGTGTGTCATTTGTGGAGAAATCTTACCTGCTGAACACATGAAGCCAGCAAATCTTTCTCATCACTTAAAGACAAAACATTCAGAATTGGAAAACAAACCAGTAGGTTTTTTTGAACAAAAATCTCTTGAAATGGAATATCAGAATAGTTCTTTTAAAAAGTGTTTATTAGTTGAAAAGTCACTCGTGAAAGCTTCTTATTTAATTGCTTTCCAAATTGCTGCCAGCAAGAAGCCATTCTCCATTGCTGAAGAGTTAATTAAACCATACTTAGTAGAAATGTGTTCAGAAGTTTGGGGTTCAAGTGCTGGAGACAAAATGAAAACTATTCCTCTTTCTAATAATATGATCGGACACAGGATTGATGAACTGTCTGCAGATGTTGAAGAACAGCTGATTCAAAAAGTCAGAGAGTCAAAGTGGTTTGCCCTTCAGATAGATGAGTCTTCAGAAATCTCAAATACCACCCTTCTTTTGTGCTATATTCGTTTCATTGATAATGATTGTAGTGATATAAAAGAAGAATTATTATGTTGTATTGAAATGCCTTCTAAAATAACTGGTGTTGAACTATTTGAACTAATAAATAAATATATTCAGAGTAAATCTCTGAATTGGAAATATTGTGTTGGTCTCTGTACAGATGGAGCTGCAAGCATGACTGGCAGGTATTCTGGTTTAAAGGAAAAAATTCACGAAGTTGCCATGAATACACTGGCATTTACACATTGTTTTATTCACCGTGAACATTTAGCAGCAGAAAAATTGTCTCCATGCTTACATAAAATTCTTTTGCAGTCAGCACAAATTTTAAGTTTTATAAAGAGCAATGCCTTGAATTCACGGATGTTAACAATTTTGTGTGAAGAGATGGGTTCTGACTATGTGAATTTACCACTTCCTGCTGAAATACGATGGATATCAAGAGGGAAAATTTTAACAAGACTATTTGAATTACGACATGAAATTGAAATTTTTTTAAATCAGCAGCATTCCTATTTGGCCAAGTATTTTCTTGATGAGGAATGGGTGGCAAGGCTGGCCTATTTATCAGATATTTTTTCACTTATAAATGAACTAAATTTAAGCCTCCAAGGAAGTATGACTACACTCTTTAATTTGTATAATAAAATGGACGTACTTAAAGAAAAGTTAAAAATGTGGCTGAAGCGCATACAAGAGAATGATTATGACATGTTTCCTTCATTTTCCGAATTCTCCAACTCATCCAGCTTAAATATGAGAAGCCTTTCAAGCACTGTTTTTGAGCACCTGGAAGGACTTTATCAAACGTTCAGTGACTGTTATCCACCAGAAGAAGACTTGCGCCTAGGCAATTTGTGGATAATTAATCCTTTCATGTATCATCGAAACAGTAATCTCCAGGACTTGGAAGAAGAAAAACTAGCACAGTTATCTTCAGATTTAGAATTAAAATCAGTATTTAAATCAATGTCTGTAACTCAGTTTTGGATAAAAGCAAAGACAGGTTACCCAGAACTCCATGAAAGGGCAATGAAATTTTTATTGCCTTTTTCAAATACTTACTTATGTGATGCTACCTTTTCAGCTTTGACTGAGTCAAAACAAAGAAATCTGTTGGTTTCTGGTCCTGCCCTAAGACTTGCAGTCACATCGTTAATTCCAAGGATAGAAAAATTAGTAAAGGAGAAAGAATAGTAAATGTGTATATTGCTTATCAAATTCTATAACTTTGTGTTAATTTTTGTATGGGATAAGTATCCTAAAATATAATTTCCTAATGTGCTTATGTGTTTTCAATGATTAAATGTTTGAATAATTTTACTTTTTGTTGAGGAATTTAATCATTACACATTTATACATAATTGTATATCATTTTATTGACTGATCAAATAATTGGAATTAATGACAAAGATGTAGGCAGTGAAAGGTCCAATTTATAATGTAATAAATAGCACACCTGGATGTTGAAATTGCTTGGCATTTAGAAGCACGTGGGATGTGTTTGTCTTCAGCCAGCCTGCCTCCTACTATAGCAGGTTGTGGTAGGTAGAAAAAAAAGATCCAAGCAGCTTAATGAACAGGAAATGAAAGCAGCAGAATTTCAGACCCCTGTAGGGGGAGGGCCTATCTGACTAGGGTTTGGCAAACTTTTTTCATAAAGGGCCAGATAATGATTTTTTTGTTCGTTTTGTTAATCCTCACCTAAGGATATTTTTTTCATTGCTTTTCAGAGAGAGTGGAAAGGAGGGAGGGAGAAATGGGGAAAAAGAGAGAAGCATTGATGTGAGAGAGATACAGATTAGTTGCCTCCCACACTCAGCCGTTCGAGGGTTCAGCCGGTAACTATGATGTGTACTGACCACCAGGGGCAGACGCTCAGCACATAGGCATGGAAACATGGAACAGACTGAATCTCACAGGGAAGGAGGGAACGGGGAGGGCGAGAAGAGATTAACCAAAGATCTTATTAGAGGCCTGTGCATGGATTCATGCATTGGTGGGGGTCTCTCAGCGTGGTCTGTGGGGACCTGGCTGAAACTGGACCCCTGAGGGGTCCTGGATTGTGAGAGGGCGCAGGCCAGGCCAAGGGACCCCACCAGTGCATAGCACCCGGCCTCTAGTGTAAACAAATAAACTGTTAGTTGGTGGGAGGAGGGAGTAAAAAATACACCCCATTCAACTGACCGAATTTGGCCCAGTTTGCCCATCCAGGTCTAGACATATTTCCAGGTAAAAGTCAGATGTGCCAGGAGTGGCCTGTAGAGATTTGTTTTGTGAAAACCTCTCTCACAGCCGTAAGTATGAATAGCGAACTGCATCAGATGTTAGACTTTGGTCCTTGAGTTCGACTAAGAAAATAATTCAGAGCTAGGGAATTTGAGTACAAGTGCAAGTTTGCTGAGAAAGTCACAGAGTAGAAGTGAGCTGTGGAAGAAGTGAGCCGACCAGCTGCGTGGTGCCTGGAAGTAAGTTATGGAGGCAAAACAAGGGCCCTTGGAGCATAGGAAAAAGACAGACAAAAGACGCCTGGAGGATGAAGGGGGGGAAGGGGTGTGTGTGTGTGACAGAGAGATGGGGGGAGGGGAGAAAGGCTAGAGAAGACAGAATAGGAGTATGAGCACCATCATGTGCTGGGCTTTCCTCCTTTTTTTAAAATACATTTTATTGATTTTTTACAGAGAAGAAGGGAGAGAAATAGAGAGCTAGAAACGTCGATGAGAGAGAAACATCGATCAGCTCTCTTGTACACCCTCTAATGGGGATGTGCCCGCAACCAAGGTACATGCCCTTGACTGGAATCAAACCCAGGACCTTTCAGTCCGACGCTCTACCACTGAGCCAAACGGGTTTCGGCTTGGCTTTCCTCATAATGGCTTTTATCTCTTGGCCTCTGGAGGATCTCTAGCGTATTCATAGATTTTCCTGGTGTGGCTCCTCAGGGTTGCGGTCTCCACTGATGGATTGGGGCCAACGCAGGGAGAGGATCATTAGTCATTGCAGCTGGTCCTGATGTCCGCTATGGTGTTGCCTGCCTGGCCTTGCTGCTCTTCTGGGCCTGGAGCTGAAACACAACTGAGGCCTAGATGTTATTTATTGTAGTTTGACCAAAACTCTGTCTCTGTGGTCAACACACCTGAGGCTTTGTTCATATTTTATGTGGTTCAGAGCCTCATCGTTCGGAGGCCTTAATGCTTAAGGGAGTGGTCATGCAAGGGAGTCAAATGAGGCTATTGTCCGGATCCCCGCACCCCCCCCCTCCCACCTTGTTCTCCAAGGAGATGTACCATGGGATTAGTGACATGTCAGGGGAGAGTTCGAACTGCACGCCAGTGATATGAAAGGTCAGGGGTCTAAACCGCATGACCCGAGATACGGGAGGGGAGGTGAGGTCACCCTGGGAGTGAGTTCCCAGGTCAGTCCGTTGCTAGGCACCTAGGGCTTTCCACCCTGGTGACCTGTACCTGGCCCGTTTCTGCTCTGCTCCTGCCTAACTGCCCAGAGTATCACAAGGATCTGAATTTTCAAACACCTTTTTTTACATTTTGATTTCAGCTGAGAGAAATTAGAAGCTATGTTTCAGGCAAAGATACAAAAGAGCAATTCATTTTATAATGACTCCTTACTGATTTATTATTAATAATTTCATAAATTACTTCGCAAATAACTTTTTGAGCTCATACATGTGCCAGGCATTGTGCTGAGCCTATCACAGACTCCGGGGGACTGATGCAGCACTATTTCTACTTCCAGAAGCAGATACTGCGGCGCGCCCGGGATAGGTGACAGCTCAGATCTCTAAAGGCAGGAATGAGGCCCTGGTCTTCTGCATCCCGACTAACTGTGCTCTCCTGCAAGCCACTTCCAGATCCACTGTTTACCTCCACTCTGTTCGGGTTGACTGGGAGACACATTTCCCCTAAATTCAATCGGGCTCCTAGAGTCAGTCAGGAGCAAGCGGGCTTGAGACGAAAGGCCAGGTCCATCGGCCCTACCGGCCCCCACTCCCCCGCCCCCAACCCAGTCCCGGGACAAAAGAGAGTGGCAGCCCTCCTGGAAGAGGAGGGAAGGGAAGCCCTAGCGCGTCCTCCAGCCGCCGGGGCGGGAGGAAGTGGATCGGAGGCCGGGGCGGGTTTGGGGCCGGGCCGGACTGGGCGCGTGAGCCCGCCCTCGGAGGACCTGCCGGCCATGGCGCTGCTGGTGGCCGCGCTGCGGGTCCTGCTGGGCGGCTTCTTCGCGCTCACGGGGGCGGCCAAGCTCTCGGAGCAGATATCGGCTTCTGCGGCGCAGCAGATGGTGAGCGGCGCGGCGTGGGCAGCGGGCGGGTGGGCCCAGCGGTTACCCCGGTGCCCGGTGCGCCCCGCCCCCGCCCGCCCGCCCGCCCCCGGCCCCGCCGCCCGCCTGCCTTCGGGCCAGAGGGCGCTAGAGCCAGGGGAAGAGCGTCCGAACGTTGGCGGGGACGTTGATGCCCCGCGGGGAGTGTCCTTAGACGGGAGGGTCGGGAAGGCCCCTTCCAGAGGAGCATGGGTGGCCCCAGCGAATCCGGACCCCCGGGGAGGAAGATGGGGTGGAAAAGAAACACAGCTTCTGAGTTCTTGGGAGCTTCGTGAGGCAGGGTTTATTAATCCCCATTTGGCAGGGTAGGAAACCCGCCCTGAAGGTGAAGTGTAAAGGTTTCTCTCCCTCCCCCCCCCCTCTCAAACACACACACACACACACACACACACACACACACACATATATATATATATATATATATATATATATATATATATATATATATATATATATATATATATATATTTTTACAGAGAGAAAGGGATAGGGATAGTTAGAAACATCAATCAGCTGCCTCCTGCACACCTCCTGGGGATGTGCCCGCAACCAAGGTACACGCCCTTGACCGGAATTGAACCTGGGACCCTTCAGTCCACAGGCCAACGCTCTATCCCCTGAGCCAAATCGGTTAGGCCAAAGGTTACACTCTCTTAACTTAGAATCCAGAGAGCCCTTTTCTGGAGGATGGACCCTGGGAGGGAGGCCTAGAAGTCGCCTTTAGGCCTGCTGTCTAGTTCTCTACTGGGGAAGCTTTCATGTTCTCATGCTCACCAATCCCCCAAGCCTGTGTGTGTGTGTGTGTGTGGCATTCTCAAGGCCGTGGCACTAGACGAAAAGGCCCAAGCCTTGCTTCTTCTCCCTCATATTAAAGTTTATTCCCCAGTAGTGAGCGGGACTCATTAGGGAGGTAGAGAAATCAGAATTAAAGAAGGGGGAGAGGAGAAAGGACCCAGCCGGCTGCCTCCATGGATGGAAATGGAGAGAGCAGCACATGGCGGGTCTGAGGAGTGTTTTTGAGGGGAGGAACAGGAAAGGGTTGGGCCCAGGGCTGAACAGGAAGGGGTAGGCTCCCGGGCACTTTGGCACACGCTGATTGGTGGTTCAATGTCTTGGGGATGTCTCTGTGGCAGATGCCAGTAATGTCATAACTCCGACCACCAGTTGGGGGAGGCTTGGAGACCCTGGGAGCTTTCTCTCCCAAAACTGGGTTTCCCCCCTTCTTTCCTGCCTTAAGGTGGTGAGTTTGGGCAGGTTCATTCCTAGAGCCAGACAGCGTAGGGCCTCCTTGCATCACTGAGCAGGAAAAGGCAGCCAGCCTGAGGATCAGGATGAAGTCATGTGGCCCCGCACGGAGCCTGATTCAGCAAGATGAGTCGCTCTGAGCCCCTTCGACTCCCCTTGTGTCTATTGCAGTGGGATCCAGGCACCAGCACACGACGTAGAAAGTGGAATCTGTTTAATGAGCAACCATCTGCCCTTCCATCCTCTCTCCCAACTCCCAATCGTCGCTGCACAGGACCTGAAGAGAAGCCAGGCCAGGCATAAAGAGACGTGGTGGCATTCCCAAGGCCTTGGCACTAGAGGAGAAGGCTCAAGCCTTGCTTCCTCTTCCTTTAATTTTTTGGGAAGGGCAGAGTCTAGCGAGAGACTCAGTCCATCTCGGCATCACCATCCAGCCCTTCTCCCTGGAGCATGAAGCCCGTTTACTGATTGCAGAGCTCAGGCCCCCCAGGGAGGCTCTCTCCTTCCCAGCTGGCCTCAGCCCTGGACCTGGTCTAGGGTAGGGGTAGTTGACGTAGGCACCAGATGCCCTGTCCTGTGGCTAGGAAGGGGATCCTTGGTGAGTGGCTGACAGGCCTTCCCTGCCACCCCTAGAAAGCCCTGTTCGAGCAGTTCGCCGAGGTGTTCCCGCTGAAGGTGTTCGGCTACCAGCCAGATCCCATAAGCTACCAGGTGACGGTGGGCTGGCTGGAGCTGCTGGCTGGGTTGCTGCTGGCCCTGGGCCCACCGAAGCTGCAGGAGATCAGTAACTTCCTCTTGATCGTGCTCATGATGGGTAAGGGGCGTCCCCCTGGGCAGGGGAAGGAGGGATTCCTGGGGAGGATGATGGGAAGGAGTGGCTGTTCCTCTGTTCCCCGTTACTATCGTTACTATTGCCTCTCCCCCCTTTTTTTCTCTGGAACCAGGAGCACGTCCTGTTGTATTACAGTTTCCATGGTCTTCAGACTAGGGCAGGCGCTTCTCAAACTTAATCTACTGAAACACTATGTCAACTAGACCTTCTACCTCATCATTTCTGTTGGCTGTGTGATATTCCATCACAAGGATGTATTATAATGTAATCTAAAACCCCTCTGAGGTGAGAGGATAGAGTAGCAGTTGCCACTTGACCCATGTGTCTAGAAGTTGGGAACCAAGAAGCTGAGCCCCCTGAACAGAAAGGCAGAGAATTTGCCTGGGACTAGAAGTCCTGGAGGGACCCCCTCATAGCAGCTCTGCTCACAGGAACTGCTGATGTACAAAGACAGCTGCTGCTTCTATACCGACCCCCCCCCCCCCCCCCCCCCCGGGTCTTGTGTCACCATCGCTGCCACCACTACCATCCGGCCCCCGGGCTTGCTTTCCATCGCGGGAGCTTCCCTCATTTTCAGATCTTTCTTTCACTTTCTCCACCAACCCCTGGGCCTCCTTCCCTCCAGTAGGATTAGGAAAGGAGTTGGAGCAGGGAGAATTTGTTCCCAAATGCCTATCTAGCCACCTTCCTGCCCTTTTTGGCTGGATTGTTTCTGTTTCTTTCTTGCTCTCGGAAAGGGGTTCCATTGATTCAAAAGCTTCTGATTCCCGGTCCTGCTTTTTCTGGAAGGCCCTGGAGACAAGCACACCTAGTTTAGGATGTGTGCCCGGGGCGGGGGGGTGCTTATGGGGAGGACTTGAGCTGGGCAGCCTAGGCTGGAGAGTCCTGAGCTTCTGGATCTCTTGGGTGCCCAGGGAGCCTCAGAGACCTGACTTTCCATTCCAGGGTCCATCTTCACGTTGGTGTCTCTGAAGGAGTCACTGAACACCTGCATCCCGGCTGTCGTCTGCCTGGCTCTCCTGGTACTGCTGGATATCTGCCAGTTCTTAGTCAGAACCGAGAAGGTGGACAGTCCCACAAGGAAGAAGATGCCAAGTTTAGCCAAGGGATCCTGAGAGTAGGGCACCTCTTACCTCTCGGTGCCATGTCACTGTCACAGAGGGACACGGAGTCAACCCCCTTGTTACCAATACAATACGTCCAGGATCAGAGTATGGCCACCGTTGAAGTAGATGTCTTGTCTACCGGGGCCAACTTTCTCTCTGGGACATTGGCTGCTCTTTTTGATATTTCCTAGCATTCCTCTTGTCATGTGAAAATAAGCAGAAAAGAAATTTAGCCCAACATGTTAATGCCCCAAAATAACTATTTTCTATTCCATTGTTTAACTGTACTTTTCTATGCTTCTATACAGATTTTAAAAGAATGAGCATGAGACCATATATACTATTTTATTACTGGCTTTTTATTTATTTCTTATAATTTTTTCATATATTTTATTGATTTTTTTTCAGAGAGGAACAGAGAGTTAGAAACATCAATGAGAGAGAAACATAGATCAGCTGCCTCCTACACATCCCCCACCGGGGATGTGCCCACAACCAATGTACATGCCCTTGGCTGGAATTGAACCTGGGACCTCTCAGTCCACAGGTCGACGCTCCATCTACTGAGCCAAACCAGCTTTGGCTATTACTGGCTTTTTAAAGCTAATACACCATGCCTGTTTTACCTTGTTGTTAGTGGCTGGGTGGTGTGCCACGGTAAGGTTGTGCTGTGATGTATTTACTCAGGCCCCCACGCAGGAACACGTGGATTGTTCCCAATTTTTTGCTATTGAAAACCTCAGTGAATCACCTTTGCATACCTGTTTTCTTTCCCTGGAGGTGTCAGTGCTGGTTCAACAGGCATGCACGTTTGTAAGGCTTTTGTCACTTACACCCTGAGCGTGGCAGAGTACAAGTGCCTGCTTCTGCGTGTGCCCTTCCGAGCCTCACGAAGCTTTCCCTTCTCCATTTTTTATCTTGGGCACTTTAGCTCTGCGAAACTAACAAAGGACCTGAAACTGCCAGCCTCTGTGCTGAGGTGGGACACTCAGCGCAGTGCTCCTGGGAACCTGCATGGAGGCAGGGGACAGTCAACTCTGAGGGGTGCTGCCTGCCAAAGCAAGGCCGGAAGCCCGGGGTGAATCCCAAAGGTCCGAAGGAGTCAGAAGGATGTATGTGTGTGTGTGTGTTGCTATGCTCAAGGAAAAGTGACCATGTTAGGGTACCTTCTGTCACATTACCAACCATTTTTACCACACAAACACCCATCCACACACACACACACATTAGTGTACACACACTACATATATAGAGGTCAAAACAATAAGGAAGCTGTCACTCACATAAGAAGTCCAGAGATAGCTTCAATGTAGGCTGCTTTATGATGACATCAAATACTTTTTTTTTTTTTTCAACTTTTCACTCTGCTTTCAATTTATTGGCTACTGCCCTCAGGGATGCATAATAGTGGCAGCAGCTCCAGCGTGGACACTTGCACATGACATCTAAAGGTGAAAGGAAAGAGAAAAGCTCTCCTAGAAGACCCCTAGGTTTTCCCCTCACATCCCATTGTGAGATGTGAGAATTATGTCACATTTTCATTACGAGGCCCAACACTAGCAAGGAGAATGGACTTCCTATGGTGGCATTGAACTAGTTAAGATTTACCACTCTGGCCGGAACCGGTTTGGCTCAGTGGATAGAGCGTTGGCCTGCGGACTGAAAGGTCCTGGGTTCAATTCCGGGCAAGGGCATGTACCTGGTTGCGGGCACATCCCCAGTAGGGGGTGTGCAAGAGGCAGCTGATCGATGATTCTCTCATCGATGTTTCTAACTCTCTATCCCTCTCTCTTCCTCTCTGTGAATAAATCAATAAAATATATTAAAAAAAAAAAAGATTTACCACTCTGGTCAGCAAGGGAGGGGACAGACAATGGTTTCTGCGGCTTACTAGCTTATTTGCAGAATATGTTTAATGGTGGTAAATACTTCTCAGCGTTGCCGTGGGGATTTAGTGGGTTGAAGTGTTTACAGTAGTGCCTGGCACATAATAAGTGTTCAGTAAATGCTATTATTAAACACTGGCTTGTTCCACAGACGAGAGAACGGACTCGGAAAGCTTAAGTGCCCATGTGTCAGATCTGAGACTAGAATTAAGGCCTGATTGACTGCAGAATGCACCATTTCCACTGCGCCAGCTGTCAAAGTCGGAAGTGGGCAGGCAGGGCACTCCCGCTCTCTTCAACGTGAGGGCACACGGGATGATCCGCCCAATGTGATTAAGTCTGCCTTGCTTTCCAGAATTGCCCCTCTGCGTGAACATTTTGAGCCCATGAAAACAGAGCCTGGAGCCCCTAGAATCTGTGGCTCCCAGAATGCCACAGACATTCTCTAGACATTCAAAGTCTCTAGCCAGGACTTTGAGTAAAACCTCTCACTGCTGGCATAGGCTGAGGACTCCTGTTTACCAAGGCTTGACCTGTAAGCTGATTAGTTGCTAAGGGCCCTCACGCGTGGCTGTAGGAAAGGCAGGGCGTAGAGGAGTGGGCTGGCCAGCTGGTGAGGAGGAGCAATTAGGATTGACAGCAGCAGGACTATCTTGAGCTCCAGCTGTGGTTTGGGGGCGCATTTCTTGGAGCTCCTCAGCCCAAGGAGAAGCCAGGCCCCAAGAAATGTGCCCCCAAACCACAGCTGGAGCCTAGGTCAGGCAAGCACAAATGACATTCAGCTGCCAGGGCTTCTTTATGCTTTTCTCTCTTCCTGTGTCCTCTCGTCATGGAATGACACTCTCTTCCCTTGTGGCCCTGGCCACACCCCACGAACCCAGCTCACAGCTGCCACAGATGGGCCCAGCCACTCCAGCTGTTGTGCCCAATCTTCATGTCATGTCCTGGGACGTCTGGGTGGAAGTGGATTCTGTTCTGGCTCAGATCCTTAAAGCCAGGTCTCAAGGGAGAGAGGGAGGGAGGGAGGGAGAGAGAGAGAGGGAGAGAGAGAGGGGGGGGGGAGGAATAGCAAGAGGTAAGAGAGGCCTAATCTACTGGCAAGGGGAGGTTTGGGGTGGGGTGGGGGGGGCACTTGGGGGCTACAGCCATGGTGGACAGAGCTGAGAAAGAGAGAGAGAGAGAGAGCACGCAAGAAAGGAATACTCTCGCTCAGGATCCCACAAAGGATTGGAACCTGAGAGAGTCCAAGCAAGAGGACAGATTTGGTACTGGAGGATCTGAGTTTTGAGACACCCTAGGAGTTTGTCTGTGTGTCCAAAATGGGAGCGGGACATGGGCTTGTGCACTTACCTGCCTTGGGGAGATAGGAGGAACACACCCAGATGTCTGTGTTGTTTTGTTTGCTGGGGGTGCCTGCGTCTCTCGTGCTGTGTGTGCCTGTGTGGGTGTACAGTTCTGTGTGCCGCCTGGAGGGAAGGGAGCTAATGGTTATGAAGTGTCTCCCCAGCGGCAGCCACAGTGCTCAGAGTTTTACTTATGTTTTCTCATAATCCTCCCAGCAGCTCTGTGAGGTAGGTATTTTAATCTCCATTTTACAGCAGAAGAAGACAGGCTCTGTGAAGCTGAGTAATTTGCCCAAGGTCACATGGCAAATAAATGTGTGTATCTTGAATCTGCTTGATTCCAGGGCCTGTGTTGTTTTTGCTTTGCTGTCCAGTGACTTGAGTCAGATCCAGGACTTCTTTGTGGTCAAAAGCGAGGGGGTAGGAAACAGGCTGGAGTACCTGGCACAGAGCTGAAAAGGTACTGTGCAAGGTGCTCCAGGCAAGCCCAGGAGAGGACCTTCACCAAGGCAAGTCCAAGGTCACTATGCATAGGCTTGTCCTCTGGGTCAGTGTATCATAGTCTGGTCCTCCATGTATGCCCTGCTGGTGCCTCCACTGGTGCTTCCCCCACTGGCTTGGGCTCTTCCTGGGTTCTCTATCTGCGAGCCTGATTTCTTCGGAACTTCCAGTTGGCTCAGCCTCGCTTGGGCTGACTGCACATGCCAGTGCCCCCACATATCTGAACCATACTCCCTCTGTGAGGGGCACCTCCACCCGCCCAGTCACCAGGTTGGAAATTTCCAAGCTATCGGGGACATCTGCCTCTTATTTCCCACAGCTTGTCATCAAGCCCACTCACCTCCAAATAACTCTGGAGTCCATCCCTTTCTCTCTATTTCCCCCCCCTCCCCCGCCCAGGTGGTGGCTGAGCTCAGTCCTCATCCCCACTCACTTGGGTTTCCTTGCTTCTAGTGTATCCTCCCAGCAAGGACTGAGGAAGAGGTGGACTGGGGTTGGGGACAGTGTAGGCCTCTGCAGTGACCTCTCTGCCTCTCCCTAGCCCAAGGTCCAAGATGAGCAGCAGTGTTGGGACCTGGTGTTGGCGGCTTCAACTCCCCGGATGGCCCTTCTTGCTCCATGGAGGTGCCAACTACCTGCTGCTGGCTCCTTGGGTGGCCCAGCAGGAGGGTATTATGGCGCTTGATGTCCCACACACCTTTAGCCTGGAGCTGCTGAGCCTCAGCAGCTGGCTGGACCTGCTGATCTACTGCTTCTCTGTGCCCAGCTCCCCCCAGGACTCCTGGATGCTGAGCTGCCACCGAGTTGGGGGCTGAGGGATTGAAGGGGAAGCCTCTTCCTTGGCCTCCCTGCCTGCCTCACCTTGGCCACCTAGGGGAACTCTGGCTAGACAAAGCTCTTTGGAAGAACCTAGATTTTTATTCTGATGCAACCACATACACTAGGCCCCCAGCTGGAGCACGGGCCTCCTCTGTAAGAAAGGGATAGAACATCCTTTGGAACACAAGTGTTCCCTAGACTTTGCCAACTTTTGGATACAAAAAATACGCCATTAAAAAAAATCTCATGGGATGAAATTCAAGTTCTTAACATGACCTGCAAGGTTCTGCCTGAGCTGGCTCCCGTGTCCCACCTGGCCTCAACACCTTCCACTTCTGCCCCCTCCACTGGCTCAGTCACCTCTCAGTCCCTGCCACAGGCCAGTTTCCTGAGCTCCAAGGCCTTTGCACCTGATGGCCAGGAGTGATGTCCCTCCCTTTCCTTCACTAAGCTAACTCCTCCTCATTCTCATTTCCTTAAAAGTAACTCTTATAGGCTTTCTTAACCAGCAACACACACACACACAACTGGATGAGATCGATTACTCCTTCATAGCTCTTTTCATAATTGTAATCGAGCAATTAATTTGGTAATTCATTGGTTTTCATTCTCTCTTGCCAGAATGCATTTATGTTGATCCATAAGAAAGTGCCCTTTTTTGTAGACCCAAAAGGTTGAATATTGGCAATTTCATTTTTATCCAGTTTAACGTAATAAATTTCATGTTTACCTTCTTCATGGATGTCGCCCCTGTGCTCTCTA